AGATTTAATTTAACTGACGTCGATGTCGATAGTAATATAGTTATATATATACGATATATTTTGACAATAAACTTTAGGCAATTGTGACAATAATCCTAGACTAATAAGTTGGGTGTTTCGACTTGGATGAGTTCTTACTTAACTTAAAGTTTATTTTAAGGCAGCAAACATCTCAATTTGTATATAATTTTAATTCAATTCCAAATTATTCCTAAGTATATCAGCAATGAATCTATTAATTGATCACATCGTAGCGATAAGCTTAAGTATTATATCTGATTTATTTATTATGTGAACAACCCTTACAGACTTCCTGCTGCAACCGTTTCGCAAGCCAAAGCGGGTGCGCACCGCCTTCTCGCCCACGCAATTGCTTAAGCTGGAGCACGCCTTTGAGGGCAATCATTATGTGGTGGGAGCGGAGCGCAAGCAGCTGGCCCAGGGACTCAGCCTGACGGAGACACAGGTAAGCAGCGGCAGGCCAACTCCACGCCGTAAGAGGCCGTGCAACCCTTTCGATGGCCGCGCTTAATGCGCATCAAATTCAATAAATGCCTTGCCCAATTGGCCAAGCTCAACCCCAGGCTGGAGTGTAGCAAACCCTGGCCGAGCGTTAAGTGATTGCATGTCAGCTGGTAGTTAACCCACCAAGTGCCAGGAGTTACCAAGTTATTAGTGCTAAGAGGGAGTACCGCCGGCTGGGCGGAGAGACAGTCCTTTGGGCATAGCTGGGCGGCAGGCGCCGGCAGGCAGATAAATAGAATTAAAAGACTCGTTAAATTTATTTACGAGCTGCCGCCCCGCCGCAAAGGGTTGAGCGGCCCAATCAGTGCGCTGCACTTAAGTGAGCCAAACTCAATTGAAGTTTTTGTGTTTCTCGCCCGGACAGGTCAAAGTGTGGTTCCAGAACCGGCGCACCAAGCACAAGCGCATGCAACAAGAGGGTGGCGACAGCAGTGATGCCAAGAGCAACAAGGGCAGCTCCTCGGGCGGCGGCGGTGGCGCCGGCTGCGATGGTGACGAGGATGCCAAACACGATGGCTCCCAGCATAGCTCCACGGATGTGGAGGACGACGAGGACATTGAAGAGGATGACGAGGACGAAGTAATTGACATGGACGACTATGGCAGCGACCTGGATGCTGAGGAGCATCAGCGCCTGCGCGAACAGTTCCAGCAGCAGCTTGCGCAGCACCAGCAGCAGTTGCTCCAGCAGCAGAACGAAGCAGGCGTGTTAACGCCGCAACAACAGCAGCAATTGCTGCACCATCATCAGCAACACCTGCAACAGCAGCAGCAGCAGCAACAACAACAGCAGCAGCACTTCATGCAGCAGCAACAAATGTATTTGCTTGAAAAGGAGCGGGAGCGACAGAGAGATCGAGAACGGGAACGATCTCGGGAGAGAGAGCATGAAAAGCAGTAATGCCCATTGAAATTCGAAGTTGCTTTTGATTGGCCTAAAGTGTCAGCTAGTTTGTGTTCCTTTGATTTGTAAATTACTTAAGTTAAAGTGTATAAATTAATTTAATATACATATATATAAACATATTATCATTAGCAAAGATGAGACTTCAGATTGAGTCTGATTGTGAGTATAAATTCCTTGCAGCTATTAATTTGAGCGGAAATTAGAAAGTTAGAGCTGAAAAACCAGCGACGATAGCTCTTTTCGATAGTTTCGCTCTACTCGATGGTTTCAGCAATCGATATTTCCGCTCGTACGTTAGTGATTGCAGCTGAAACGATATATTGACATCGAACAAGATCAATTGAACTATCGCAAAAATGAATGTACATCGTTACTATCGATGGTACTATCGCTGGTCCTACCTGCTCTAATCTGAGTAGTTTTTGAAAATAATTACTATTCTACGAAAATGAAGTGAAATTGTGTTGAGTAAACAGAACCGGCTGAAGCTTGAGCACAATTACAAATAATATATATATTACAGAAACCAACTCGATCCGGTTAGTAAAAATAAAACAAAGTAAGCAATTTGCCCATAGCTGGCAGCCTGGCACCCTTTCTCTCTTTTCAATAATCCACAAACGTTAACGAGACCATAATAAATATCGATCAGCTGCCAACGAGCAAACAGTCAACATTTCGATGACTTTCCAAATGCTAACAAGCGCCCTTATTGAGTTGTTGTTGACTGTTGATGGTTGTTGGTTGATGTGGTGCATACCCTTTTGCCGAGCCATTTGGGTAGGCTGTGTGCCAAACGTTGACAGTAAAAATGCAATCAACAATTACGTATTGCGAATTACGAATTACGGTCTCATAAAGCGGCCAAAAAATAAACGTCAGTCGGTGATGGAACGACGAATTGATTGGATGCCCAGCAGACATCCATGGTCGAGCAATACATGCGAAATTGATATTAAAATGCAAACGATTGACTATCAAAATTATTTACTACTACATATAAATAAGGATTGAGTGCCCCCGGGGGCGCCGGCCAACTGCTGCAATATGCATATGGAGCAGGCAGCTAATGGCCCAGCAATTTGGCGTCATTTAAACTGCAACGTGAAGTAAGCCAAAAAATTAAACTGACAAAAACCGGCGAAACGGCAGACAGACAGACAGACGGGCAGAGTGAGATAGCGATAGTAGTAAGCTAGTGAGCAAGAAGGAATTGTGGAAATGCCAGCGACTCGTGCCCGGCAGCTAACCCAAAGTACAATAAAAATAAATTTCGTTTAGTTTTTTGGTTTTTTTTTTTTTTTGATTCGAGAGAGCTTCCACTGAATCGCCCCCGATACGGATCCAAGACCAGACCTGTGTGCTGAACCAGACGAAAGTTCAAGGTAATTGCCGTTGTCAAAGCAGCGCAACGAAAAGTGGGCGTGCTCCGTGGAAACTTGGCCAGCAATTTATGGGCCACTTGAGTACAAGCAAAGGGTGTTGAGGTTGCACGCGAGCAAGCACTAGGAACTGGGTGGCAAACAGGTACTCGAAGTGGTCTGTGGGGTCGACTGCATAAAAGTATTCTCGTATTTTGCATAAACGATGTGAGAATTACTTAATTGCTATTAGAGCGTATGT